GATCTCCTCATAGGTGTCCAGTGCCTCACCAGTGTGGAACATAGAATGCACGCAGGTGGTTGCACAATTGTTTCAGCACTTTCCCTTGTCTCCAATTCTCACCCGCTCGCAGCTTACCCAAACTTTTGTAGCCGCGGCGTGGCCCAAACACAGATTCGGTGTCTCTGGTTTAGCTTGGTTGTGAATATGGATGGACAGCGCCGGGTGGCGAGTGACTGTTCGGACACTTTGGGGGAAAGCCACACGCAGAGTTTACATGCCAGTTCTCTTGCATCTTTCATGACTCATCACGTCATAGAGGCAGTTGGAATGCAGGGAGGTTGAGACCGCCAAAAAAAAACAATGCTCGCCACAACACGCCGGCTCAAGTTGCGACCGCTTGCCTGTCATCAAAGATCCAACGTTTGCCTTTTTGCCCCACTTTGCGCTGCAATGGCAACCAAGCAGCTTGGACTTGATAGCACCAACCTTGAAGCTTGGCGCTTCATAATTACTGTAGGCTAGGTCCAGCAGGCAAGTTGCGGAGGGCGCAGGATTCCCATGATTACTATGAGCCGGGCAAAGAGAAACAGGTGGTAGGATCCCGTAAGCAGCCTTTGCCTGAGGGTCGGCATCAATGGATTTGGCCGCATCGGGCGCATGGTCTTCCAGGCCAGTTCCCCGAGAGCGTTTTCCCTACTCGTCTTCAATTGGCAGGAGGGAATCGACCCCTCGATATTGCATGTAATCACAGGGAATGGCGAGGGCACGGCAGACGAGGTCGCATGAATCTTGAGTAGTTCTGCTTCAAAATACTTCGATCCTGGATGTGGAGCGAGCACGCATCTCCATAGAAGAAATCCCCAAGGTGGGATCTTCACGAGTTGGCCATGATCGATTCTCAAGTAATTGCATGCCGAATGCCAGGGAGCTGTCGCTAAGACATGCTGCCAGTCTTGCAAGTACAGAAGCCAAAATTCAACAACAATGAGCAGATGGCAGCACTAGCTACCTTGAGCCACATGTGCTCCAGCCGGACCAGTTTGCTGTGGGTGCCCCTTTAGCGCTTAGCCAAGGTGTAGCAGGTGCCTAGTTAGATTTGCAGAGTTTCGCGGAGAGTTCAGCCGCAGGCCATTTGCGACCAGGGCCTTCTCGGTACCAAACTGGATGTTGCCGCTCACCTTGTTCATGCTACTTGCTCCTTGCGGCCATCCTGATCTAGCTGGAAGTATGGGCCTAGTATGGGCCCGTAGCCTTTTTAGTAGCATTCTAGGGCCCAAATTAGATAAGGGCCGCAGAGATCCCCAGAGTTTCAGGCCCGTGCTAGGGGGCCATAGTTCAAATCTTAGAATGCCGAAGATGTCTAGATACTCGTATGCTGATTCTTTTGCAAGATGACTTTTCATCATCAGCTACGGGTGTTGCTGTAAGCAGTGTGAAATTGCATACCTGCATGCAATTGCATTTTTTGGCAGCTTTGAGCATTGAGCTGACGCGACGTTGTCGTCAACAGCCGTGTGACTGTACATATAAATGATTATTAATGCATGTTCCGACAAGTTTCCACACGCACAGCAAGTGAGGGTTTGCAGAGCAAAGAGCTGAGGTCGGTGTGGTCGACATGTCCACAGATGCTGAGCACCTCGGCCCAACTATGCGTTGTCCAGCGAATGATTAGCACTCTGCATACTCTGCCTGCAAGGTGGCATGGTAGGGCTAGAAACTTGTCTCAGGTCTTAGCATGTTCGTCCTGGATCCACGCACGCTGAAGACATCAGCAAACCATAACAAGAATCACTTCATATTCCCGCGTTGGTCTTCCGCAGGTACTTTGCGTATCAGATGAAGTATGTGCCTTGCCTGCACGCTACGGCTGCTTCTTCAGATTTCTGATTGCGCTGGTCGATGAGACCGTGAAGCGGCTGCTGGCAGGCGCTGCCTCAGAAAAGTCGCCTCACTGGTCTGCTAATTGAACTTGTTCAAAATGTAGAAACAAAGCCGAGCTGCGCTGATGAACATACACCACAGACTTCCATTCCTACATAGAGCCGCGCGCGGTGCACTAACGACAACAGCGCACAACGTTCCAAGGATACCGTGCACGGCAAGTTCAAGCATGATGTGAAGATCGGCGAGAAGGACCAGGGCAAATGCCAGAAGGTTTGTTGGGGCCCGGCCCTGCAGCATCAACTGGGAGCCTCAAACTCTACAGCCCAGATCAAGCGCACCAAAAAGACTAAGATCTAAGTCTAGCTGACGAAGTGATGCGTGCAAAGACCTTGCAACGGTTTGTTGGTTCTGTTGGCGTGCAGAACTGTAGCCTGCGGGCCCCTGCATAGGACGAACTCATCGTGAACGGCCACAAGACACTAGACGTCGTGTGGAATGCGTTCTGCTTTCTTGCGGTTCTGAGATCTGAGACAGCATTTGCTCTTCGAGCTGTCGGTTGTGCTGATGGCAATATTAAGCTGCACCCAGGATCAAGTGCATCATGGCCAGCAGGGAGGGCCCCAAGGCCCTGCCCTGGAAGGACTTGGGAGTGTGCCCTGTGCCGCACCGTAAATTAGGGCTGTCACCGAGTAAGATGCAAGGCAGCGCCACGTGGCGTGGGGGATGCGGAAAGTATCGGACAGTGAAGTAGCATATGGAACAGCGTGCCGTCTCTCCACCTATGCAAAACGAAAGCGAGGCAGTTCGTCATCGAGTCCACCGGCCTGTTCGTGGAGTACGAGAAGGCTTCTCCTAGCCGTCTGATGACATGAGTTTAGCTAAGCTTCATATGGTGGGCTGGTGGGCTGTGTGAGGCCCTGGGTCACATCGAAGCTGGCGCAGAAAAAGTCATCATCTCCGCCCCTGGCAAGGGCTCTCTGAAGACCCTGGCCCCTTTGCGTCAAGTTGGATACTTCATAGTGATTCTTGCTTTGTCTGTCGTGGGTTGAAGGTGTGTGAGGCGTCCGCTTGAAATGTTCCTGAGGTCTGCGGCGTGAACCACACGGAATACGACAAGTCCCAGCATCACGTGGTCTCCAACGCGTCCTGCACCACGAACTGCCTGGCCCCAATCTGCCACGTCCTCTTGAA